ACAACAATTTTTTACATCAAAGACAACCAAAAATCACAGATTCTAGGCTTTATTTTTTTATAGAACGGTGTATATCAAATAATTATATAGTTAATTGGTAGTAGTGTTTTTATTTTTTGTTTATAAAATTACTATATAATTACTTTATATTAATTATATAAAAACTACAAAGATATTTAATATCAAAAAATATATAAATAGTTATAAAATAATTTTTTTAAAAAATAATTTAATATAAAACTAAATTTTTTTTTAGAGTTATTTTGTATTAGCTATATAAAAACTACAAATAATTCTTGTTTTAAATTTACAATAAATAATTTTATAAATATATAATCTGTTTATAAATTATTTATTTATTTTAACTTCATATATTATAGAATTAAATATATTAAAAAATCTATACCAAAGCTATTTTAATATATATTTTATATATAAATATAAATTTGATTTAAAGTGTAATTTAGAAGTAAATTTGAAGCAATTTTTAAACTATGAATTAGATTTTAAAACAAGGCATAACACGATTAGAAAATTTCAAAACTAATATCTAATTAAAATCATAAAAAACAATTTGTTGTATATTTTGTGCCAAGTTAAACCATAGAAATATTCATCCACTATTCGTAAATTTTTATGCCAAGATGTCAAAATTTTTGGCATCAAATAAGAAAAGCACTAATTAATCAAAAATTATAAGAATTAAAGTTCTTTTTATCCTATTAATATTACACCATCACTATTTTGCATTTACAATTAAATACTTGATATTAGACAATATTTTAACAATCAAAGAAGCAATGCTAAACAGAATGCTAACATGCTTGTAATAACAACAAACATTGTTGTAAAATTTGTTGTTGGAGTGGAAGTAAACGAATATATGTAATAACGGTGAATTCATTTAATTATTATTATAATCAAAGTATTTACTGCAGAAACTATTCAAAGCTAATTACGGTATAAGCTTCAACAAAAGCTGAAATATTTTGGTCACATGTATAATACAGTATGAGCAATACCCAGACTTTGGCCTCGGCTTTAAATCTAAAATTTACTCTAAAAAATCTAAAGAATTTAGAGGTTTGAGAGCCCTGAGGTTTTTTGTTTTTCTTAGCATCACTTATATAAATTCTCAATTTAGTTCAATGCAAGCCTTCTATTTTGATCCTACGCATCTTCAATTCAAATTTCATTCTGACGCACTTATATAATCCTCAATTTAGATACTACGCATCTTTCATTCTAGTTTTAAATCCACACCCATTCTAATTTCACGCACAACATATGCATTAGATTTTTTTTATCAATCTTATTCTCTTAAATGGACAAATGTGAATGATCTTCAAGCTTTCTACTTCAAGTCAATCTAATATTTCAAGACAGCTGGTTATGTTGCGCATAAAGTTTAATATATTGAGGTTGTGTATTTTTCAAGTTTTTCGCTCTTTTTTAAGATGCACAAAAACAGAGTTCGATCTTTGATCTAAAGATTTAAAATATGCCTATTCGCTTAAAATTTTTCAAAAAACTATTTCAAAGATATATATATTAGATTTATTTTTTTTTATCATGCTTAATCTCTTACTAAACATTGAGGTTCGATATACACCGTTCTATAAAAAATTAAAGCCTAGAATCTGTGATTTTTGGTTGTCTTTGATGTAAAAAATTGTTGTATATTGTTATAACATCTAACCAGGTTGCTAAGACTCTATTATCAATATTTTGAATGTTAACTAATCTACTAAAAGGAATTCATTCAATTGCATCTCTATATTCTGTAGCTTTCAGTTGAAATTCTTTAATACAATCATCAACATCCTTATTTCTACTTGAGTTGTCTTATGAGGGTCGCATGCTTGGCATCACGCATAAGATGTGCTATCGCTTGCAATTAGAGTCAAACTTTAGCTTAGCACAATTCAACAAGTTTGCTTTTCAAATTTTATATATAAATTATATTCTTGTATTTAATATTTGTTATACAACGGACAAACATTTCTAATAAAATTATCAAAGACTATTACCTTTTTTTCTTTACTAATTTCTAAAAAACCGTTTTAATAAAACTGATTTCTCTTAAGTGTAAAAAGCAAAAGCACACTTTAGTATTTTCTTTGATAATAAAATAGTCAAAATATAACTTTGCTTCATAATCGCAATTTTGATAAATTCAATCTGATCGACATAAAGTTTATTAAAACGATAATAAGTTTGAAAGTGCTAAAACATTGTCATGAAGCCAGAGCTTGAAAAATAAGAATGTTATAAAGGTATTATAGACTAGAGTAATAAGAACTTTCCATACTATGTGGTTAGCATAGGAAGCATCAGTTGAGGCAGGTTTTTTCTGATAGATTTTAGTTGATAGTTTTGTTAGTTATAGCTCAGAAATTATCATTTAATATATAAACTTGTAATTGAAATTAAGCTAGCTGGTATTTTTGTTTTTTATATATTAAAATTGCCAGCATTTCAAGAATTATATTAATATTTAAATTTGCTTGAACTAAATGCTTATTACCTATTTTAATTACATTTAAAGTTTTAATATCTTAAACAGAATAAATAGAATGCAATTTAAAATAAAAGACTATTTTCTTTAGATGTGATTATTTGTTAATGGAAGCTTTGATGCTATATTTTTTCCAGATCTACTCGGAATTTTGCAGTCAATTGTAAGATGGTCGAGTTTCTTAATAGCTTTCGTATTGTAAACGTTAAAGCAAATTTTAAATGCTTCCCTTATTAGAATTATAAGCTTATTCATAGTTCTGCATCTTTTAAGCTTATTTACATTAGTGCCTTTTAAATATCTCTTTAGTGCCTGTTTAATGACTTCTTCAGTTATGAATTTGTTGATCTCAATTCTTGATGGAATCAATATTTGTTGTTCTCTTGATCACCTATCTTTAAATTTAAGTACTAGCGCAGCTATTCTTTTATTAAATTTACTATGGAAGTCTGTAAGTACCCGTTTTGAGTGACAAATGATCTTTACAGCTTCGTTACTATAGAGTTTATAATTCAATATTTCAGTTATAAGGTCTTCGATAGCCCTGGTTGGTGGATTTCTGCACCTGAAAAAAAGGCACTTTATTTCTTCATGCCAAAGTCGAGCAAGCTCCTATAAAATAAAAGTTATAATAAAGATTAACCATTGTCCAACATAGACAATGCAATATGTAATAATTGAAGATAATACCTTATCCTCGCTATTATTATTTAATGTTACAGGGTAAATATTACTTGATGTTACAGGGCTAGTATTATTTGATGCTACAGGTTGAAAGACCGCAGTAGTAGATGAATTTAGCAATATATCCATGGCATTACACATTTGAATTGCTGTTGCCAATATATCAGGCCTTTCTAAAACCAACTACTGACAAACTTCGAAAATGTTTGTTATATCTCTTAGAGTGTCGGGTCTTCCTATAATTTATAGTAATAATTAGTTAACAACTAATAAGTAATTCAAGATCATATAAATTGATATCAATTTACCTGTTCTTTTTTTATAGGATGCAACTACCCTATTATCATTGTTATCTTCATCTATATCATTTCTTTGTCGTTTCTTATCATTTGTTCATTTTTCATAATTTTCTTGATAGTAGCCTAATTGATTTTATAATAATATATTTAGAACAAAATAACCACTATAAAACAAGTTAAAAGGCAGAAATAACAAACCAGCACCATCGTCGCTGTTATTACTATCAGACATTCGAAGCAAATCTGCAACTGTAACTTTGTTTAGCTGTTGGTAGATATCTCTATCTCGAATCCTGATAGGCGACTCCATAATTGAAATATTATAAAGTTCAGAATCAACCGTACTTTCATAAATTTGCATCATTGGTACTAAAAATACAAATTATTTTATTTAAAATTAAGAAAACAAGAACAAAAAGTAATTACTAACCTGTAGCCTTTGAGGCTATTGATAAGTTACAACTCGAATTATTTGTATTTTTTGAGGTTCCTATTACTGTTGATATTGTATTGATCATTAGAAATAATATGCTCAGTATAAACGCTAGATTACGCTTTTTTCTTACCAATATCTGATTCGATTTCTTCGTAGATTGAATCAATATTATTGAAATCGTTATTTGAAACAAAAATCGCTTCACCTTTATTTTCGTGTTGACTTGTTTTTTCATGGCTTTTCCTTTCTTTGCTTCCTCTTCCTCGATCTCCAATTCCACAACTCTTGCGATCATTTTCATATTGATTTTCTTCTTCACAGCTTCCTTTGCTTTCTTTCCCATGGCTTTCAGTTCTACGATTCTCATTTACTTCATGTTGACTTTCTTCACGAATTTCTCTTCCCCTGCTTCCTCTTCTACAATCTCCAATTTCATGATCCACTCTTCCATGTCCTTCTATTCCACCTTCTCGACTTCCTCTTTCACAACTTCCTCTTCTACGACTCCCTCTTCCACGGCCTCCTAATTAAAAGGTTATCATAGTTATAAATTATCAGTCAATTTAACAAATATTATATCAAAGTTTTATAATGTATTCAGCATTAGCTATCTTGAAGACTATTATGCCAAATTTTAATTGATAACACTTACTTTGAGCCTTTACTAGTTGGTGGTTTGTTCGGTTTCTTCTATCTCATCAACCTTGGCTATTGACCTCTTTGTTTTTGTCATTTTACTTTAAAAGTTTAAAAGAAAATATATATTTAATAGTCAAAAAAAGAGGTTTCTGATTAGATAAATATGGACGTAGCTTACATAACTTTATTTCGATACACAATATACTTCTAAGCAAGAGTTTACTGCCTTTTTCCCTTTTAGTATTTATTATTTATGTTTGTTCTTTGATTTTTTTTATTTGTATTGTGGAAAGATTCGATTCTCTATTCTATAATTTATTTGTCTCAAATTACGTAAGGTATACAATAATTAATGCATTTATACTAATATAGAAATTAGATTATGCACATTTTCAAAAACCCTTGCAGAACTATATCCCAATAAGTATAATTAATTAATATAATTACGTTATTTATGATGTTTGTTTAACAGATACGTGAATAAAATAAAGCCGTAAAAATAAGTTAATTTTTAAAAATTAAACGTCATAATATAAAAAACAGGTATAAAAGTAAATTTCTTCAAACTTAATGTTTTTTTCGTCTTTGAACAATATTGCACAGGAGATTGTGTTTAGCCATAAAGTCATTTTTCTTTAATAAGCTTAACCATGCGTAAAAGTCATGTTACATCAATTAAACCATTTTCTTTACGGCAAAATTCAAACTTTTCTAATCGTAACGTCCTTACAAAGTATAAACGGTTGGGGATATTTAAATTAAGTAAGTTTAATATAATACTGCAAAAATTATATTACACATCAGTAATAAGTATTTAATGGTTTATAGAATCAAATGTAAGTTACGATGAGGGAGACGAAATGGAAACACAAGACAAAAGTGAAACGCAAGACGAAAGTGAAACTCAAGACGAACTAGAAATGATAGATGAAAGGGATGAAATGAATAAAAGAGAAAGCATAATAAAAACAGAGGATGAACGAATTGAAAGGGATGAAAGTGAAAGTATAATAGAAAGTGACTTTGAAGATAGTGATGACAGTGATAGTATTAGCATCAATGACAATTTGAATGAGAGCGAAATGTATGAAGTAGAGAATATGGAAGACTATTGAGAGAGAAATAATAATGATAATAATTACTCGAATGAAGAAGATCCGATGGTTGATGCTTCAATATATACAAACCAGGTGTCAAGTACAAACGAAGGTGTATCTTATTTTGACAATTTAACATCAGGGCTCTTGTTTTGCTGGATACAGAAGCATACTACTTGTAAGTTCGATCTTATTTGATATAACATAAATGCATAATTTTAAAATATAGTAATTATCTATTATTATAGCAACAAGTGTATATGAAGACTTAATGGACATAATATAAAATCCAGCTTTTAATATAAATGATGTTGTGAAAAATATATGAAGATTCCGACAATGGAGATATCGATTACCATTAATGCTGATAAAAGCACATCCTATTAAAATTAATAAAAAGGCTTCATCTATCTCTAAAGACACACAACTTTGCTATTACTTATCTATTTCTGATATTATCTGGAATATCTTAAATAACTCATCACTATTTGACAAATTATATTTCAGACTGGGAGTCAAGGTTGAAGCAAAAAAAGAATATTGGCATGGTGATCTTTGGGCAGAATCTCTATTATTTGGTCAAGACAAAATCATTGTTAATAGAGGTATGATTTTTATGTAATTTTTTTAGTTATTTCAAGTGCGTTCTATTTGTTATATTCTAACCGTTCAGTTTATAAATTGAATATACTCTATTATGTAATGTCTAAATATTACAATAGAATGTTATCATCCAGGTGAATTCATCATATATAAAGAAGATGATAGTTGACGATTTGGGCGAATACGATCAATAATTATCATTAATAATGAACTTCAAATCAAAATCCAACATATTTTCATATATAATAAATTACCAAACAACTTTCATAATATAGCACGTTCATCTACGCGAAAGTTGCAATTGTGGCTGGTAGATCAGTATTTGGAAGAGGGCATGATTATAGTTAATACAACTAAAATAATCAAAAAAATTAATATTTCAATTGTTCGCACTTCAAGTATTACTAATGTTATTAATGGTTTTTACATTAAAGAAATTTTATATAAAAATAATAGATACTGGAAGTTGCAAAATGCGAATTTAGATTATATGCATCCATGTGAATACTCTACTTTAATTGAATAACCACTACAATACAATAATCTTCAAGTTTTAAAGTTATTTATTGATATCTATTATAATGATTTCGGTACCTATCGAAATGCCTATTATTCATTAGGTGGCGTGTATATACAACTGGGGAATATGCCCTTTGATATTAGAAAACATTTAAAAAATCATTTCATCTTAGGATTTGTTCCCTTTGGTGGATGTTTTGATAATTTTATTTGCCTATTTGTATCAGATATGAAACAGTTAGAAAAAGGAGTTTTAATGAACATTCAAAGAAATAATTACTGGATCATCGCTAGCCTTGGATGTGTTACTGCGAACCTTTTTCAAGGTAATGATTTAGCAGAAGTAAAACGCTATGGTGCAATAAGAGGATGTAGAACATGTTTAGTTGCAAAAGACAATTCAACTGATGAGAACCTAGATATTTCTATGATTTCTCATTATCATCATATTACAAATGTTCAATTTGATGATATTTTTACAGCAGCGATGCTTACACAACGAGATGAAATTTCAAAAAAATATGGTTTGCGAAATTCACTTCCGATACTTGACCAGCTTCAACGTGAACGTCATCTTCAATCATCCCAAGATACTTACCACCTAATAGCTAGAAAAACATTAAAACTTCTTAAATTAACTATTTCCATACTATCACCAGATGGTGAACAAAAATTTTTTAAGGCTTGGAAATTATTTGAATACTCTAATCACTGGTCTAAGCTTCCAAATCCTATTAGTCATATTGAAAGCTTCACAATGTCAGAATGTCTTCGGCTAGGAATGATAATGCCATTTATACTTAACAGGGTCTTAATCACTAGTTGTTTTAAATTAGCTGAATTAGCAAAATTACAGGAACGTGCAGGCCTATATCGCAATCAGGTGGCTAATGAAATCATTAAATGCTGGTCAATTGTAGCAAAGTGCTCTCGATTAGCATTTAAGTTTCCATTAACTAATAGTGACTATGAGGATCTTGCTATGAATTTGAAAAAAGAGCGACGAGTCTTGATAAAGTAAGTTTGTGAAAATATTTAAGTGACAGATTGTAACAAATCGCAGTTAAAGGGTATATATTTTATAGTAAAAATCGAATTACTATTACTTTTATAATAATTTTTACTATTTAATTAGCTATATTTTAATCCATTAACTATGATTTATTTTTTTTAAAGGTTGACAACTAATTTACATTAAATATAGTTATTTTTAGAGTTTGTGGGCCTTCCTAATCTTCATGCTTCTTATCGTTTACCTCAGTATGCAAGAACTTTTGGAACTCTTATAAATACAGAGGTTGGGATGAAGGAGATGGTCCATTGCGTTTTTAAAAATATAGTTCTGTCTACTAATCACAAGAATGTTGCATTGGATTTATTAAAACATTACACAACTTTGCATCTATCCGTCATCTAGTAGATGGTGGAATCGACCCTTGATATTCATAGCCTAGCATTGATTTTACTAAAATATCTCAAGGTTCTAAGCGTTTATTCAAGAATTGGTTTATTAAAGACTCATGTGAAGATTATAATGAAGAATCTGAAAGTAATATACTAATATTTTATTTTTTATATTTGCACATATTTAACTATCATTAATGATTTATGAATTTATGTATTATCAATGATTTTACAGTATGTTCTCAATCCTGCCATATTCGAAATATCAAATTAAGAAAGCCGGTAGCTGCACATAAATTAATGATCAGAACTGATATACCTACTTTTCGATTCGACTTGGCTCTTGCTTACCAAAGTTTTGGATTCAATACATCCCTGATTCACGAATCATATAAATTTTATGAAAGTGCATCTTATATACAAAATAAGGGTTATGCTAAAATTAAGTGTCATTTAAATAAGAACAATGTGGCAGCAATCCGAACGAATGATTATGAAGACTATGTGATAGTTAAAACCATTTTCAAGCACAAAGGCAACAATGATTATTATTTTCCATTTATTTATGTTAATTGGTTTGAAGATATGCATAGAAAATATGAAAAAGTCAATTGCCCAATATTCACTCTTCATCACAATAATTCTTGTCAGAAAATTTTTCTTTTAACAGCTGTAAGCAAAGTTCGAAAAACACATTTTATACATGACTATAATGCAAGATGTCAAGATAATAGTCATGATTTGAAGCATAATCGATATTTAAAAAACAATTTCTTTTTTAAAGTTG